ATGTCGCTTCTTGACACTTCTGGGACCCGAAACACGAGTTTTGAATACCCCTATTATGGAATTCCAAAAACAAGATGGAATCAGATCAAGTTAATCTGAGGTAAAAGAAGTTTGCTAGCTCACCAACCGCTGACCAATCTCTACACTCCACAATGTAGGGGTAAGGTGCTTCGGCCTGACATCCTGCACAATCGGCCAGACAAGAATCTAGTTTTGGTATCTGAGACTGTGGCCAGTGAGATTGCTTGAGAGATGTGAACGTACCTAGCACGCCGTCATCCGAGACCTCGTAGGAAGAAGTCATACACTTCAATTTACGGTCGAGAGGAAGAGCAGGCGCTTTCGGTTGACCTGGGTACAACGTACAGCTCGAGACTATGTTGAGAACACAACATCATCAGTTCTGTTATTTTCAGCTTCAAAAAGATTTCCTTTGTCTAAATTACTTTCACCATTATTTGGGACCTGACACGAGCTGCGAAAACAGTTGACTTTATATTGAAATGGTTTGCCGTCTTTTAAGCGCCAAGCTCCACAAGCTGAAAATCACGAATTACCAGAAAGGAAACCCACTCTTCTTACCGCTATAGTTTTAGGTAAAGGGAGCTGGGGAAAAACGGATCACATTTCTCTCTGACATTTGTGATCCCGTTTGATCATCTGTGGTCTGTCTCTGGGTCCCACCCAAATGCGTTTTCTTATTTTTTTTTTTTTTTTTTTTTTTTTTTTTAAAGTGCGAAGTTGCATCATTGCATATTACACTAACTAAACAAGTTAACAAAAAACACTAGTACACCTTAATACCAAGCGGCCCTCTAGTCAATCCCCGGAAAATGTTTTGTCTTTTGATCTTTGTTTTTTACATTCTTTTAAACTGTTCTTTTTTTTTTTCCTTCTCGATCACTACTAAAACTTTTTTTTTTTCCTCCATTCTGTCAAAGAATCTGAACTATCAGTGACACTGTCAGGTGTGTGATCTGTCTTTGATTGTTTACCAATCGTGACTTCGTTCGATCTTTAGAATGAGCAATGAAGAGGGTATTCAGTGACATTTCCTTCCGCTTACTCATCCCCAATCTAAGGTGGATGGTAGAGCATCAGCGTGTTTGAAGCGTCGGGGTTGTTTACCAATCGCGATCTTACTCTTTCTGTCCATCAAACTACATAGTATCCTACCCACTCGTCCCCCAATCTAAGGAAGGAGGTGGGGGCTTTATATGTGTATCCGGTATTGCTGGTTTTGAGGTTTAACATATACTGCTACTTGACATTCCACACGTCCCCCAATCTAAGGAAAGAGGTGGTGTCTTGTAGAGTTTGTCGTTCTTGTTTTTTTTTTGAAGGTTTTTTTTTTTTTTGAAGTTTTGAATGTTTGATCTGACTATCATTTCCGGGGTTGCGGCTGCTGGTTTTGGGGTTTTTCCGGTAAATATGATTTTAAATGTATGAAACGTTTTGTTTTAAGAATGAACTCTGCTAGGATAGGGAAAGCATCCGGGGAATCTAGTAGCCTTATTGAGCTGTTCCAGTTTGTTTTTATACCTTCTTTCTTGAGTCTTGCTCGCATCCATTTCCTTGCTTTAGCGTAGGATCTGCAATACAGTAAAAAGTGGTTAGTATTTTCTATAAGTCCACATGATTCGCATTTTGGTGATTGAACGATATTCCTTCTAAAGAGGTGATCGTTAAGTGGGCTGTGTTCGGCTCTGAGTTGGAAAATGGCCGCGGCTCCTCCCTTTTCGAGATTCTCCAAAGCCCCCGCTATCAGTTTGGTTTTTGTTTTAAAGGGTTTATTACCTGGGATGAAAGTCAGATGTTTGATATTGAAGAGATCTTTTGTTCTTCTTTTCAGACTTCCTAGACTAGTCGGGATCGTTATTGCTTCTTCTTGTTTGGCGGCCGCTTCACTCGCTAACTTGTCCGCCTTCTCGTTTAATTCAATCCCCCTGTGTCCTGGGGTCCAATAAAGTCGTACACTGGGTTTCCGGAGGAAGTTGTTTAAGTTGTGCTCGGATTTTGATGATTAGATGCTGGCCTGACGTTGCTCTCGGGGTGTCGTGTGTTAGTTTTAAGGCTCCTTGGTTGTCACTGAATATCGCTATTCTAGACGGTCTTGGGGTTCGTCTTCTACAGACCTCATTCGCTAGTTTGGTTGCCAGTAGAATACCGAGTAGTTCTGCTTCGTGATTTGAGTAGTTCTCGCTCTGTTTTAGGGAAAGTGTGAGGTTAGCTTGTTTGGTCACTGCTGCTGACCCTCCACCTTCTTGGTTTACAGCTCCATCCGTGAAGATTATTAGGGCATTCGATCTTTCTTCGTCCTCTATCTGTTTGGGGATAAGTTCTGTCACTTCTTCTTTCGAACCGTCTAGGTTGAACGTTTCACCAATTTTTTTGGTCCACAGCGCTAGTGAGTGGGCAAAGATGGTTTCTGTATCTGTGGACGTTAGTTGGGTTAGTTCGTCTAATTTAAGAATCTCTTGGACCGGTCCCTTGTTTGTTTTTGGGGACTGTGATAGTTTGTGGATGATGAATTTTCGAGTTGGGTGGGAGTCTTGAGCTGTCAGACGTTTAAGAATGAAGTTGTGGTGTCTTCTGGTGGCAATCTTTTCGAAAGGTAGCATGTATACATCGTGTTTCATGAGTTCGTTTGAGGATCCTTTAAAAGCACCTATTATCAATCTGTTAGCATTGTTTTGCACTGTTGTCAAGATTTTGTTAGCCTTTGTGAAGTTTTTCTGCGTTAGCCATGCAATGCTACCATAGAGAATTCTTGGTAGTAGGACTGTTGTTATCAGCTTTTTTGCTTCTCTAGGTGATAGACCTGAGTAGCACCTGTTGATCCGCCAGAGTTGTTGAAGAGTCAGGTTAGCTGTTTTGGTCATGTGGTGAAGATGGCTGTTAAACAATAGTTTTGGGTCTAGCCATAGCCCTAGCCACTTGACCTCGTTCTTCGGTTTCAACTCTACTTCACCGAACTGGAAGTTAAATGACGTCAGTTTTCTTTTCCTGCTGAAATGCATGAGTTGGGCCTTCTTCTTGTCAAAGATTGCGCCACTCTTGTTCGCCCATGCTAGTGATTTTGCGGCATGTGATTGTAATTTTACTTGGTTATCGGATAGTGATGGGGATGCTACCAAGTGTACAACATCGTCTATAAAACCAAGTGATAGATTATCAGCTGCGTGTGATGGTGGATTCGGTCCCAAGATGTCGGAGTTGTAGATTAGATATAAGATGACTGAGAGTGGGGAGCCTTGTGGCAGACCGTTTTTGATGTTGAAGGGTTCTGATACATAATCCTGTAGTCTGAGATTAGTCGATCTGTCACGTAGAAAACCCTTTATGAGGTTAATAAGGTAGAGTGGGCAGTTGCGTTGATGTAGAATGAACCAGAGTCGCTCCCTATGGACCGAGGGGTATGCTGATTTCACATCAAGAAAAAGGCCAGACACTTCCTTCCCTGATCTCCATTTTGATTTTATCCATGATGTCAGTAGCAGTAGTGCGTCTTCCGTGCTATGTTGTTTCCTGCCCCCCATATGATTTGGTGAGATGGCCTTTGAGTATTCCGCCCAGAAGGTCAATCTGTTTGTGATGATTTTCTCGAGGATTTTACCAATACAGCTCAGTAGTGCAATTGGTCGGTATGCACTCGGATCCGAGTAGTTGTCCTTATTGGCTTTACGAAGGATGATGGTAACTGCTTTCCTCCATCCGTCCGGGAAGTGGCCTAACGAGAAGCACGCGTTGAACATGTTGCACATGGTTGATTCGATTACTGGTAGTGCTAGTTTCAGTAATTCATTTGAGATTTCATCATCACCTTTGGCTTTCTTTGACGGGGCTGATTCTACCACTTTACGTAGTTCGTCTAGTTCGAGCGGGGGATGCTTCGTCGGGACGCTATGGGTCAAGTTCACGATGTTTGTGGGGATGTCGGATAAGTCGGCCTCAATATGTGCCACTGATGTGCCATAAAAGAGTAGAGAAGCTTGTTCTTCTTTATCCGTTGCTACTGAGCCGTCTTGTTTCGCTAGGGGGGCTACTTCGTTTGAGGATGTTGGTTTGGTGTATCTGAGTGCTTTGAAAGTGTCGTGGTTTGTGCTGGTGGCTAAGAATTTTCTCCAGTGTTGAAGTTTAGTCTTCATGACTTGTGCTCTGAAGTACCTTTGCCACTCCGAATAGCATTTGTGAGCTTCAGGTAAATTTGAGAGGATCATCCATCTTCGGGCTCTATTTCGGGACTTGATGATTGGATTCAGTAGTTCTTCGTCCCACCAGGCCTTGTTTTTTTGGGGGTTTGTCTTCACTTTCTTCCCCTGGTCTTGAGCCGCTTTCAGTATAATTTGGGCTAACTCCGTGACTCCGTTGTTGATATCTTCTGTCGTGGTGTATGTTGCCGGTAGGTGAGAAATTTCTTTTTGAATGTAATCGTGGAATCTGTGGCTGTCTAAACTGTCAGTTTTAAAGGCTATGTGATTTAGTATGGGTGGGACGAGGGAAAGGTTAATAAGAGGTCTCTATTGGGAGATGATCAGAAGCTATGTCATTGTTTAATACTTTGCAACTGGTAATTTTTGCTTGTACGTTCCAGCTTGCCCATATGAGGTCTATCGCTGTGGGGTTAGTTCCTGTGGAAAAACGGGTGGGGATACCTTTTGGTGATCTTAAGGAGAAGCCTGATGAGCTGCATAAAGCTAATAGTTTCTTAGCTTGAGTGTCTGTTCTTTTGTACGTAGGAGGATTCCACATCTGGTGGTGTAGATTGGAGTCTGTTGTAATGATGGTTGGGATTTGTCGGTTGTGGTGTTGGCGCAGCCATCTCTCCAGGGTGGCTAGGCCGCGCATTGATCCTGGGGGGTTGTACCAAGTAATGACACGTAATTTGTCTTGTTGATCCTTTTGGTTTCGTATGTCGACAGCTAGGATGATGTCTGAGGAGCTGGGTTGGAGTGAGATGTTGGTTGTTGGGATGAGTTTCGACACGTAGAAGCATACCCGCGGTCGTTCTTCCCAGCTTGTTGGGTGAAAATCGTATGCCATTATAGTGTGCCAGGCTTTGTGGTTCGGAAATGATAGTGAATGCGGGTTGAACCAAGGTTCTTGGAGTGCGAGTATTGAGTATTGAGTTTTAGTGAGGGCTTCTTGAGTGATTTCGAAGGATTTTCTGCAGTTGAAGTGAAAGATAGAAAAATTATCTGAGAGTGAATGTGTGTCAGTAATCTCTTCTATGGGGGATGAGTCATGTGTGTCAGTAAAGTTGGGTGGAAAATTGGGTGGCAAGTTGTACGTGTTTTCTGGGACCCTATAACTCATCGATGTCTATCACTGGGTTAGGGATTTGGAAAACTGTTTTGCGGAGTGGGCATGATAAGCTCTTTGGGGAGTGGGCATATTTGGGGAGTGATTTGTCAATTTTCGTGTTTGTTTTTTGGGCATCAAAACTTACACATCTTATGCAGATTTGGTCAGTATCGGTGTTAGCACAGTCTTTGGTATTGTGCGGGTCACCACAATGAGCGCAAAAAGGGATATTTTTGCAGTTGTTATGGACATGATACAAGTCGAGGCAGTGAAAACACATCGTTGGTCCTTGAACATATTGTTTGCTACGGAGACTGGTACAATCAATGAAAATACCTCCTTTTTCAATCTTGCGAGCTAGATCCTTATCTAAGAAGTTGATAACTACTGTGCCGTGTCTTTTGTTGGTGTCCATAGGGTTCTTGATCCATCTAGCGGAGTGGAGAGAATCGAGTGGAATGTCGTTCTGTTCGCTAACCTTAGTGAGGAAGTCGGGGCCTTCGACTTCAAATTCAGCTGGTACAAAGTTAAATAAGATTGGGTATCGGGTTTGAGTTGTAATGAAGTCTTTGTGTGCTAATTCGGTCCAGCGGTGTTTGTTTTCAAGTAGCCAATTCTTGATCAACCTATTTTCTATGTTCATTAAGATATCACCCGATTTTAAGATCGCTGCTCCTTTGATTTTAACCGGTTGGTCTCCGACTTTGGCGTTGATCGCTAGTAAGGCCGCGTTGACATGTTGGACGATGGCTGTGTTCGACATTCCTTTGAAAGGTGTCTTATCCGGTATTTTGTGGATGACGAGAGAGCAGGTTTTGTATTTGTTGATTTCTGAATTCTTTGGTGGTTGTTTTGGGGGTGTGATGATTGATTGGTTTTGGTTTTTCCAGATGTTGGGATTAGGGGGTAGGGGGAGAACCGTTCGGTGTTT